TCAAAACCGAGGTTATATCCTTGTGGCCTACAACGTAGAAAAGTCAAACTGCCTAACATGAATAGTGGATTTTTATTATTAAATAGTTCCTTTATTGTTTTAGACTTTTCTGTAACTTATCTAAATTCGTATTTTATACATTCGGCATCATGTAACTAAAGTAAAGACTGTCTTTGCGACATCTTAGAAACAAAGTTGTGCGATTTTTGAAACGTCACCGGACGGTTCCACAATAAGCAGACCTTCAATTCATTGTTATATGCTTTTATTGTGATAAGAAACTTGAATAATTAGTGTTCACTTCTCCTTGAAGCGGCTGTCGTGTAGTTTCAATTGCAAAATCGTTTAATTGGCGATGTTGAGTCGCGTGGCGCGGCCGGTGAGATGTTACGAAACATAGCTGCGTTCGGCGCACGCGCATTCCGGGCGAATTCGGAAAGGCTTTGCCGGAAGTTCAATGCCACCAGCTGACGCGATCGCTATTTGAACTCGACGAGCTTTACAGCTACTTGAGATTAATGTAATTATTTTTGAGTACCTCAAATAAATTCCGTTAAGTTCTTTAAAAGGTGAACTGCACAAAAACATGTCGTTGTCTTGCAAAAGCGTTTTTGCTTTAGTACGATTTCGAAGATTAAGAATATCCTTATTCTTAATAATAAAATATTTGATTACACAAAGCCTTATAGCGCAAAAAAAGAAGTTTTAAGCAAGTAAATTTAAAATAAATTAATTGTCAAGTATAGATTTTTTTAATTTATTTTAAGATCTTTTCAATGTTTACCCAGTGTGCAAAGATAAACAACTGGTGAGGCCAACAAATATTTATTTTATTTTTATTATCTAATTTATTACTTTCAATATTATAAAGAACACACAGATTGGATATTTATTTAGGTCTTATTTAATTATATGGAGCCGCAACGAACAAACATTTAACGCTTGACATTTTCATAAATTGAATTCTGTGTAAAAGTTTCATGCAAGATACAAGTCAAAGACCGTAATAATAAAAAAAGAGAAGTAAGACCCAAAAGGCAGAAGATGTTAATTAGCAGTTCCAATACTTATAAGATTTTTTACACTTAAAATGGCCTAGCGAACGATCATTTTCATCATCATCATCATCAGTGCACTGTACGTCCCCACCGAGGGGCTCGGAGCCTAGGGTGGGTTTATTAGGCCATAGTCAACCACGCTGGCCAATCGGAGGTTGGTTGACTTCACGCATATCTTAGAATTTCTTCTCAAATATATGCAGATTGCATCACGATGTTTTCCTTTATCGTAAGAACGTCGGTTAAATGTAAATCGAAAATCGAAAAACACATTGGCGGGATTCGAACCCAGGACCTGCAGATTACAAGTCAAGTGCTTCACCCCTGAGCCACCGATGCTCTAGCGTCGATACTAGCGAACGATAATATTGAGTATTTCTTGTTCATATAAAAACAATAGTATTCTTTGCGTTAACAAACAATGCAGGAACTAAACTACAATTTCCATCGATAAATTATTCTGCGTCTGTAAATATTGTAATGCGATCTTAAAACACAAATATATGTAAACGAATACCGTTGTTTATTGTGATGCTGGCAGTTTGCGTCTGCAGAACTCTGAGCAAGCAATTTAACATTACTCAACGTATTTTTCCATTCTTACAGGATTTCACGTGGATGTTTCCAGTTAATTCTATGATAGATAATTGCTCCATCTCCATCATTATAGTTATATGCCCTTATTACTTTTTTTATTGATGGCTTTATGTCAACGTTGTGATGGCAATTTTTATATCTAGTTTTAAATACCTATGTATATTATATTAATATAGAATTGAACATTTTAAAACTGAGCAAGTACTTTACTACCTACTGTTTATTAAAAAGTAAACATTATATTTTAATTGCAAATCAACCAATCCAGTTTAAAGCAACAAGTTATTCCAGTTCCTTGATGTACCAAAGTTATAAAAAAAAACTTAAATCCGCGGAGCGATAACGACCAAAGGACGGAAAAACCAATGCGGCAAGTTATTTCTGGAAGTTCATGAGAGTTAACAAGTGACCGTGAATCTAAAACCTTTAGTCCATTCGTAATCTTTGTATATTAAAAAAGAAACTAACAGATTCACTTACTGAATGTAAGAATAAATGAATGATGTTCTGTGCCTACAATTTTATTCTCTTCTATTATTTAAATATAAATAAAACACAAGCTTAAATAATATAAGTACATAAATAATAATCTTACATATTCATTTATGTATGTATAACTTTACTATTAGCCTTAGCTGTACTTAACACATGCTAAGTAACGTAAATAACATAGCCACGCGTTCTTTCTTATTTACTAAAAATTACTCAATCTTTTAGTACTGATTTGCAAATCGATGTTGAAACAAATAGAAAAAATTACAACAATATTTTTATGTGAGATTAACATATCAATTTTGATTTCAATAATAAATAAATGAATATTTTATAAGACATTTTAACTCATATTGAACGATTGTAACATAGAATATATTATTAACATAATCACAATGTAACTTGCGTTGTCAAACTATCGATACATTGAATACCGAAATAAATAATCTATAAAAACCTTGTGCTTAATAACTCTTGAGAATTGTTTGTATATTATTATTTTTTTATAAATATGCAACTTGGTCAATGACTTTTGTAAAAGTATCAGAGCATTAAAGCCTTCTTGGATTGCGAAAACAATGTAACCCATGAAAAATGTTAAGACTTTTGTTATCTCAAAAGTGGCAACATATATTAATAATGTTAGGAAAATGTAATATATCACAGAGATTTACAGTTGAATATTTTATTTTATTAGCCAGATATTTGTTGAAGAAACCTAGACGGGTAGAGATTGCGAAACGTCCAATATGCTAGTCAGCGTGTTATGGTGGTTCATTAGATCGATGACTAGCGAAAATATATTTGAACTTTACCCGAGCAAAGGTTAAGGCCAATAGAACTATCTAGAGGTCAATTGATGCAGAGTTACATATGGATAGACACTCCAACTCCAAGTTTAAGATGTCCAAGGTCAGCGTCAACGATGTCGCTTATAAAGAGGAGGAGGAGAGGTCAAATAGCTAATAGGTTGATTCCCAAATTTGAAACATAATAGGATATTATTAATAATTAATTATTGAATTTAACTGCCGTCTTGACATTTTAATACGAGGTTAGAAACGAGATTTATAGAATTGGAATACAAGTTTTGATCATGTAACAAACGCTATATTAATATATATATTTTTTTTAAGTAATTGTTACAGTGAGAAACAGAAAGGTGACCTCTGGAAAAAATTTACCCAGTAATGGCCTACTTTATTAAATAGGAAGTAAAAGTAAAAAATAAATTTTATCCAATTAATTAAATATTTAAATAATAATACACAAATAGCAGATATTTTAAAAAGCATTACCTTAATAACGTGACACTCAAGGTCATTTAATTATTACTTCTTTTAAATCTGGTTCCCGCAATTGCACATTTTATGACAAGTTAATAATGAGAGTATTAAAATTGTAATTAAGGAAACGCATAAATAATAATTACATATTTAATGATTCGTATTAAATCAATTAAAGAGCAATATCTTTATTTATATCTTCTTTACATTCATTAACTATTTGATAGATTTTTGAGATTTTTTTTTATGGGCTAGAGTAGGTTTGTATCGCTTGATCCTATCAGTACTGCATTATGCAGTCTGTGTAAAACGGCCCTAATATGAAACGATTTCTCTTCAATGTCAACCCTTGTGAATGGACAAAAAGGGAACTTTCGCGTAGTAATACGAGGTAATCATAAATTCGTTATACTGCCTTGATACACAGAGGTTCAGAGCAATTTTCTTTTAGCATCTAGGTCATAGTAAAAGATGGGGCCAGTGATGTGCATACAACGAACGTATTTGACCGATTTCAACAAAGGATTAATGCATAATACCATTAAACTACAGAGTTTTATAGATTTGTAGGTGTTTTATACAATTCTAGGGAAAATATAAACGCTAAGTAATAATATACTATGAGATCGATATTAAATTATTCAAGCTTTCGTGAGACATTATACTAAACTGATATAAAATTAGAGCGACGGGCCGCGTCCGCGAAATAATACCAGTACCACTCATCCTGATGAAGGGCCCCCGATGGGCTCGAAACAAGTCGGTGCCGCCACCGGACGAATATACGTCAGTGTTTAGCCGTTTTTATATCCGTTTATGAGATCGAAATGTCTAAGGATTATATTTTTTTCTAGCGGTCGACCGCGACTTCGTCAGTGCAGAATTTAGAAATAATGTGGCCTATAATGTGTTTATGTGCATCGGCTAAAGTCCCGTCAAAATCAATCTAGCCGTTGCGGTGATTACGCGGAATAAACACGGTCTTGCGGACAGACAAATAAAAAAATAGTTTTTCGTTATAAGCAACCTAAATGAAATATTTGTATGTAGGAAATACGTTAATTTATATTACTTGCAGATAGTACAATTTTATTACTTAAAATTATTAATTTTAATACGTTTGTTCAAGTTAATAAATAAATATACATAAGCTATGTATGTAAAACGATAGTAATGTACCGTAAATATCATGATTATGTAATAATTTAATTTTCGCATTTAATACTTTAACCATTGTTTACCAAATGAATGAAGCCGTCTAAAATTAATGTTAGAGGACAAAAAATAAGATAATAATTGTGAAATAAAATTAATTCGTAAAAGTAAAAAGTAAAGTTCCTAACATTCGTTCAAAGTTTGCCCAATTAATTACATTTTTTCATTAATCCATTTCTGAAAAGTTCATTGTATTTCACCTTGATATTTAAAATAAAATCAGGACATTGCATTTTATTTATTTTAATATAATAAAACCAATCCCCTTTTCAAATTAAAAATACAATGACCTAATTAAAAAAGCTCAATTTATGATATTCCTTTAAGATTTATACATTGATTAAAAACTTACCGTTTATGTTAAAACAAGTCACTCAATAAAGCACTTAGTTGTAAAATTTTTAAAAAAATATTTTCAAGTTAAGTGTCCGTCCACACCTGGCTACCTTTTGCGCGAAATGTGCGTCGATAGCAATGCGCGGGTCACTCGCGTAGGACTGGTAATGTGCGCGCGCGCAACTATCACTCCGCTATATATCATTACCATCAGTGACGTCACATCACACACGATAAGGGCTGCGCAGCATCGTATTGATTGTCACAAGAACGTGTCGTATCAACAACTCTTATGAATGTACTTTCGAAACTGTCGTCCTTTAAAAATATTGATAAAACTTAATAATTGTTTTTGTATGTTCAAAGTGCGGAAATTCGTATATAGTGTTATAATTACTTTATGAGGTAAAAAATAAAACAGTAAAAACTGTTTGCAATAAATTGTAAAGGCAACTATTAAAATTATTATACGTAATTTAGCGATAACTATGCAGCCGTTCTGGAGATACCTTCTAACAAACATCCACATCCAATCCAAAAATCCAAACATTCGCATTTGTAATATTACTATCGGTCATCCACAACTCCGTTCCCGCGGAATTAAAAAACCTAATTAATAGCCTATGTGTTCTTCCAGAGAATGTTCTACATCCATGGCAAATTTCATCGAGATTCGTTCAGGCGTTTCGGAGATACCTTCAAACATCCATCCATCCCTCTATTCATCCATCCATAATAGTAAGAAGTAAGATAGTTAGATCTAATTAGAAAAAATAATAGATAGCTTAAATTAAATTGGTAATATAATCTATAACTAAGTATATGTGTCAGTTAAGTGTCGTGTAAATTATACGATAAATTATATTAGATGATTGACGGTTATGATAAATGTAGCAAAAAATAAACACTTGCTTGCGTACCTTTGCACGCTAGTACCAATGGAATGGAAATTGCCAAGTTAGCTTCTTAAAGAAATTACGAGACAATATACTAATATCAACAAAGATATTTATAGTATTTTAGTGAGATTGAGAAGATGAGTTGAGAACTGGTCCGTGGTTACTGTCCATCCTTCTGGGATCCCCTCTTTTGTTGATATCAGTGAGCGACGGGCCGTGTCCGCGAAATAATACCAGACCACCTCACCCTGATGAAGAGCCCCCGATGGGTTCGAAACTAGTCGGTGCCGCCACCGTACGAATATACGTGAGTGTTTAGCCGTGTTTATATAAGTTTATTCCCCTCTTTTAAATTAAATTTTGCTTCTAAAGGATTGGCAATTTATAATTCGCGTATCGGATTGTTATAAGTTCATTCGGGTGAATTAAATGATTCGAATAGATGAATTAGAGAAAAAAATTATAATAAATTCGAATCAGATTTAGTCAAGTTTTTATATATGTACTTTGTAATAGGAACAAGATTTAATAAATAAATAAACTTGCTATCGTTCAAATTATGTTAAATGAGGAGGTTTACTGATTGGCTCGAAAATTCTGTGTACGGAACGCCAAAACTTCACCGGCTTATTACTACACTCACATACTAATGGCAAAATAAAAATTAGCCAAAGTACAAACCGGGTTCAATTTGTACATGCTCTTGAACCAGAACAAATTAAATACCTCTGCTATCATAGTATTTTTTACCGCTTGGCCGTTATAATTCCGATACTAGCTTGTTTTGATGCGCGGTAGGAACGTTCTCGATACTCAAAGATCAATTGCGTCGAAAGAGTACTCTAGAAAAACTAAAATACGTTAATATAGTATATGCCGTCATCGAGTGTTTGCAGATATTAATTATCATAACGATCTACATGACTTGTATACGCAAATATTTCCATCACATAAGTGCAACGACATCTTATTGTTTTGAAATAATACGTCTTTATTTTTCCTGTAATGAACCTTAGACTTATTTTTTTATTTCAAGGAAGGAAGTTTGTTCACAACAAACTATGATGAAGTTTGGTCATAGTGGCTTTAGTACTAACTAACAAAACTAATAGTAAAATTAAACATATACCTTCAGTTAAAGCATAGACATAATTATATTTTTATATCGTGTACCAAATGTGGAGTGTCAGTAGCTCAGGGGTTAAGCACTTGCAATCTGCAGGTCTCGGGTTTGAATCCCACCATGTACCAATGTGTTTTTCGATTTTCGATTTACATATGTACATTTATCCGACGTTCTTATGGCGAAGGAAAACATCGTGATGCAATCTGCACATATCTGAGAAGAGATTCAAAAATATGAATAAAGTCAACCAACCCGCACTTGGCCAGCGTGGTTGACTATGGCCTTCTAAAAATTACTTAGGGCAGGCATTGCGCCCCTCAGTGGGGACGAATAGTGAGGCTGTGAACACGAAATTTGCGAGGAGCAGAACAGGGCGACGGGCGGAGCGGGGCGATGTAATCAAAAGTATAGCACAATACAGTGACGTGCATGAGTCGTAAAAGCGGGTGCGAAGTAATACTTCTGTTTACGCTAAGTTCGTAATCGCTAGTTCGTAGTCGTTGTAATCGCTAGTTTCGTGGCCTGAGCGTGATTGATACACAGAATGTTTAAAGTTCTAAAAATAAAAATGTAATAAAAATAATAAATGAATATTAGACATCATATTTTTGTTGTCTGACATTATCTTAATTCTATAATTAGTAATTATAACGCTTGGCGGATTCATCGACCTTAAAACATAATCTACATAATAGTTTAAATTTATTATAGTCAAATTATTTTCATCATAATTGTGATTCTTCGCGCAAAAAAATACTGAACTTTATTGCACGATCATTTCGCATTAATTTAGTTTTTAGCAATATCTTTGCAACTTCGAAAGCAACAGAATAAATTTGATTTCAATCTTAATGTTCTGTAGCAATGAATTTCATTAATTAAACACAATTAAATATTCCGTAAATGTCATAAAATTACCGTAAAAGTTTAATTAATAAGAGCTTTTAAATCATGGCACCTTTGTAGGAAATAATAACAAAAATTCGGCATATAGAGAGGATTTAGTTAACGTTTATTGGCATTTTTATCTTAACATAAATAAAAATGCTTATGAAAGCTATAGCTATATATATAAGCTATATACAAATATAAAAGTGTATTCACAGCATTTCTGTTCTTTTCAAACAACATCAGATGGATTATGCCCGACTTAAATATATTGGAGACTCGAGGGCAAAAATCTATCAGGTATACTTAAAAGTAGCCTCGCTCAGGCACCTCACAAAACACGAAGCCTTCGGTTAATGTGACCTTCGCGGGTTGAAAATATGTTTAATGTACTTTTATCGGTGGTAGAGCCCGCTTTAACATTTTCGCACGAATTGGCCCGGCTCGCCCGGTGAAATACCACGACCACACAGAAGACAGGCGTGAATTCCGCGTTTCGTCTGATGAGTGTGTGTCCCGGAGACCTAATTTAGTCCTCTTTACCTTCCCACCCTTTGTCTTATAAGGAAAGGATGGGAAGTGGAAGTGGACTATCCGGATGAGAGGATGCATGGAAAGGGAAGATATTTTCTTTCTGTGCATCCTCTCCTTCGTCGATTAAAGGTAGGCAACGCATATGCAATTGCGTATGTCTATGGGCAACGGTCACTTCGCTGTTTCAGCGATTTCAGGTGGCCACTCGCTCGATTGTCACCTTATGATATATAAAAAATTGATTCTAAAAACTCACTTTACAATAAAAGACATAAGATGTCAATAGTCCACAAGTGCAAAAATACATCCTTGAACTACAATAGTAAGGGTAAGAACAATGCTATTAATAATGTCGCTTCTCCCGTAAGCATATCTGGATTTGAATCATATATCGATAGCCTTACACGATTTGAATTCATGCCAACACGTATTATTTTACTTTATGAAATTTTTACACAATACAGGATAAATAAATCTACGATTTTACATTCAATCCAGTATAAATACAGAGTTAAATTATGTATGTAAAAAGATTTTTGGGTTTCGAATCATCCTGTGAATAGTGGATGATAATTGCTTGTGATTGACGTGAATAGCAGTATAAATGACAGACCCTTTTTGTGTAGAAAAAGTAGAACTTATATTTATAAAAGATATACAAAATAAACTACTTCAATGTAATAAAACTAACTAGATTTTATAAATCTATTTTTTGGAAAAAATCATCAAAATATCTACCAAAATAATGTTCGATAAAGAAATAAAATGTTTACGTTAAATTAGGAATTGATTGCTAAAGTGCTAACGCAATAATAAACCATAGAGGTCATTCACCCCTTGATAACTGGTTTAATTTAATCGAGATTCAGAAGGGTTAGTGACTTCTTTAGAACCATACAAAAGATTCAAAACTGTAGCTGTCGGTATAATTCATATGTTAATGGCATAAAATACGGTGCATCGGCCCATAGGACCCGCCCTCCGGCCAACGTTTGTACACAGCAAAAACCTATAATATTTAATACATTTCAAATAAAAAAGGCAACCCGCGTCTTGGTAATTGAAAAAATATTGATTTTAATTGTCAAACTTGAATTCGAAATGAATAAAAGTATGCCCATGGTCTAGTGACTAGGTCTAGTGACAGCCACAAAATTTATATAGAACATTTCTTTTTTATAGTTTTTTACGGAGGTAAAATAGTAATGGCCAAAGTTAATAAGATTACATTTATAATTCCTAAAGAGAATGTATTTAAATTAATAAATAAAAGTTACATCTATAATCTAACATAAAACAAAAGTTTAATGAAAGATTATTCTTGCTACATATATGACATTTTTTTATTTAAACTGTGTTATTTTCACTACAAAGAACTTTAAAGTTCGATTGGTATTTAAGAATTGATAAAATTTACAAAAAATATATATTTCAACTAGCTGTCGCCAGCGACTCCGTCCGCGCGGGATTAAAAATAGATGTTGGCCGATTCTCAGACCTACTCAATATGCTCACAAAATTTCATGAGAATCGGTCAAGCCGTTTCGGAGGAGTATGGGAACGAAAATTGTGACACGAGAATTTTTTTTTAGGTTACCCATAAATCAATGAAATAAGCACTTGTTAATTTTTCATTTTTTTA